GCACAGAGGCAGCAGGGCTTCCAGACTTGTGTGTGAGGTCCAGGTGTAGTGATGTGCAGGTGGTGTGTGTCTGCAGGGATGCCCCCAGAGGTAGCTACCCTGAGCCCGGGGTTCGTGCTTTGTGCCAAAGACCCAGACTGACCCACGGAAGGGGAGGGGGGGCGTAGGTGGGGCGCAGATCACTTTTTAGGAGCACCAGATAACATTGCTGTTAGGAGAGGAGGGGGGGACGACGCAGTTATCTTTTCCTCCCTCTCATGCTTATCAGGGTGCAAGAAGGAGCTAACCTCAGCCTCAGAGGTGGGGTGGGTGTGCATATTTTTTTGTGTGTGCGTGCATACGCACGCACCGGAGAAGGTGCATAGCCTGTGAATTTTTTTAAAAAAAATAATTCCTGGCCTTTTAAAATTGGAGCTCTTTAAATTAAAAAAATGGGGGGGGCAGAGATAAGGGGCTCCAGGCTGTATGAAGAAGACCCCATCAGGGTTGTTAAGGCCTGTCAGGTTGGCAAAGGGGTGAAATGTTCTTAGTTCCCTGGGAGAGGCCCTCTGCTCATGGGCAGAAGCACTCTGCTTCTTACAGACAGGCTGTGCTTAAAGCGTGCCGGTGGAAGATGATAAGGTCCTGCCATGAATTAAGTCCTGAATACGAGGCATGGACTGGTGGGGAAGTCTGTGTGTGTGTGTGTGTGTGTGTGTGTGTGTGTGTGTGTGTGTGTTGCCTCTTTAGTAGATATGCCAACAGGAAGAAGTTCACAAGGTGATGCTGGTCTCCGCTTCACCTGTTGGAAATGATTCATTTATACAGGTGATCTACAGGTGCAAAGTTATCCTCTCTCATCCTTGTGGCCTTTGCACTTTGGTTTTGTGAGACAACACAACACACACACACACACACACACACACACACACACACACACACACACACCCTGGTCACCCCAACCCAGGAGGCTTGTTTGATTCTGTCCCCTGTCCTGATCTGGGGCCAAGGTTTTCTTCTGCTGGGGGTTCTCGCTGCCACCCGTTCAGCCGGGGGGGGGGCTGGCCTGATTCTCTCCACCTCCCAAGGCCCGGAAGACGAGGAGAGTTTCCTGGCTAGGATGGTCTCGATGCCCGCAGTATCTTTTATTGTTTTGTGGGCAAGGGGATTTCAGCCAGGGTGCCTCAGAGTGACAGCCCTGCCGGAGGATCAAGTGCCAGACAAAGAGTGGGGAGGGTTAGGGTTCAAAGTCCAGCTCAGCCACGGAAAACCTCTGGGGGTGGAATGGGTTGAACGGCTCTTTGAACACCTGATGCTTTAGAGCTGCTGTAAGTGATCAGATAGACCCTCAAATTCCCTGATCCGCATGACAGCTGAAGGCACATTCGTCCTGAATGGACCGCTCTTTTCCCTCCTGGCTTTCTTTCTGAAAGCAAAACCTGGTTGGGTCCTTCCTTTCTTGCTTCTGTTTGCACCTGAGTTGAAGGATGCTTTATCTAGAGAGAGTCTGCTTTGGTGTTGAGCATCTCACTGTGGTGGCAGAGCTGAATTGTTTGATTCTTTGGTGAATTATAACCAGCTTCTGGCTCATTTCCAAGCGGTTGATTTTGATGTAATTCCACATCTGGGAGTTTTGTAGATGTCATTTTTGGTCTCCCGAATGGCATGGAGTTCTCCGTATCTCATCTATGATTCTTATCTCCTGGGCTAAATAAAACACACACACACAGCCGCTGATGCAGTTAGCAATTCAAGAACATTTCAGTGGCAAACAAGTTCTGCTGAAATTGACTTGAGATTCGTCTGTGTCAGTCTTTTTCAAGCAAACACCCTGAGATCTAACAAGTATTAGGGCGGTCTAAAATGGGGTGGCTTTTAAGGGTCCCGAAGACTCCTGGCGGTTATTGAAATTGGCCTGAATCCTATTGAAAACCTTTGGGAAGGGTGACAGGTGTCTGTACTGCCAGGGGTTTTTAAGTGGTGCAAAAGAAAATGGCACAAGAGTAGAACCCTTGAAGTCATCCAGAGGAATCTGAGACACAACACAAGAATTCAGATCAAGGCAGCAAGGAGAGCGAAACAGAAAACACATCGGACGGAAAATTGCTTGAAATGAAATAATAGGCTAGAGGAAGGAAGGAAGGAATTGAAATGAAGGAAGGAGAGACAAGCAAAGTTAGGGGTGATGTTGATTTTCAGCCCCTGTTGAGAAATGCACCTTTCTCCTTTACAGCCTGGGTGAAGATTTCTACCGGGAAGCCATCGAGCACTGTCGGAGCTATAACGCCCGGCTGTGTGCGGAACGCAGCATGCGCCTGCCTTTCCTGGACTCGCAGACGGGGGTGGCCCAGAACAATTGCTACATCTGGATGGAGAAGACCCACCGGGGCCCAGGTGCGGGGGCTACTGTGCCGGCGGCTGTATGAGGCATGCCCCTGGCGCTAGGCGCTGTACATGGAGCCGACCGTTCCCCAGAGGCCTTGTACTTCATCGCTTCCTGCCCAGAGAAGGGGGTTGAGGGGTGCATTGGGAGCTCTGCATGGAGGGCAGAGAGTAGACGGAACCGGAGAGGCAGAAAATGTGGACTTCATAAGGACTAGGAGCTTGAAGGTGACATGGGAAGAGACAGGCGGGGAGGGAGAGTTGTCACACCTTTGGCTTCTTTCTCATCAGATAGTGATGTATCTAGAATCATAAAACCAGAGCATAATGGAGTTGGAAGGGGCCCCGTAAGGCCATCCAGTCCAACCCCTTGCTCAAGTCAGGAATTCAAGTCAAAGCAGACTCCTTTGTCCCTTTGGTTCTACTCCGAACGGGAGGACCCAATGCAGTGGGTGTGAATCCTAACAGAGGAGACGTTGATTAAGCGGGAGGAGGCACAGCCTGCTGGCTAAGAGCTATCTGGCAGTGGAAGGGGCTGCCAGTGGGCTGGCTGACCAGAGGGACATATTTTAAGCAGCGGCGGGATGGCTCTCGGTCTGAGGCCTTTGAGCGGTGGGTTCCTTCTTTGGCCTGGGGCTGGGCTGGGCTGGTTGACCCTACAACCCTGTGATCCCTGCAGGGCTGGCTCCTGGCCAAATCTACACCTACCCGGCGCGTTGCTGGCGTAAGAAGAGGCGGCTCAACATACTGGAGGACCCGCGACTTCGGCCGTGCGAGTTCAAAATCGGTAAGAAGGGGGTAAGCCTGGAGGCGTTCAGGGGGAGTGGGGCCTGGGCAGGCAGGCGGGCGGGAGGGAGACTGGGCTAATCTTGTAGGGATTTCTCCCCCCCCAGGGGGAAAGACAGAGACAAAGGTCCCAGGAAAGAGGATCCGGCATGCTGGGTGTCATGCGTACAGGATGACTTAAGCAGAATCCAGCCGGTTTAAGACACCACGGCTCCCAGCCTTTGGGTTTCATAGGAAGCAGCTGCAGCGGGTATCTTAAAAGGGGGCATGGAAAGGGGACATTTTAGTAGAGGGAGCCTGTCCCCTTAGCACACGCCGCTGAAACCGTTTAGCCTGACTATTCAAGGTGCAGGAGCCCTGCGGACTTTTTCATGTGGCTGCCACCTTGGGCTCCTCGTTCTGCATCTGGCTCAGGGGTGACCCGCCGCTCAGCACAGTCTTGGCCCCGTCCTTCCAGGGCAACCAGGGGCGTGAAGGGAGACCCCACAGAAGCTGTGCTAGAGTTCAGCCGAGTTCATTATTCCGGTCACAGATTGCAAGCCCAGCCAAGCGGCCCAGTGCTTTAAACAGAGCTTGGGGGACTACAAGTCCCGTTGGCCACCCAGGATTGGGGATTCTGGGACCTGGAGTCCAAAAGAGAGAGAGTAACATTTGCAAATGAGAGCCCTTGCTTTGAATATAGAAGGCCTCCAGGAGCTGAGCCAGTGGGGTATTTTTTCCGTTTTTCGATCCTGTTGTGAACTTCCTTGGTTCCTGATCTTGGGAGAAAGGCTTTTTGGTCAGAAAGAAGAAAGGGGTGAAACACACGCTACTGCAGATTGTGGTCTTAGAGGCTGACCGCGTGGCGTCTGGGAGAGCCTCTTAGGGAGATGGCAGGCCAGGGCATAAGTGCCCTGGACCCCAGCTGGATGAATGCTGCCATTTGCTCCCTCCTCTTTTTCTTTTTTCTTTTAAAATAAACAATTAACCTCAGAGGGGCTGAGCAACGGCAGGGTGACAGACCATAATTTTCTTATTTGCCCCTGACCAAGAGATAACCCCCTCCTATTAGAGAGCAGGGCTTGTTCCTGCTGAGCATCCGGGAGGCAAACACAAACTCTATTTCAAGGCCTCGGGTCTTGCCTTAGGATTTGAGCTGGGAATGCAAAATACTCTCCCTTCTAAATCAGGGGTTAGGGTTAGGGTCTGGAGGGCCGTGTGCATCCCGAAAGTCGAAGCAGTTGTCATCTTGGAGTGGTAGAGAAGAGAAACATGACATGAGGAAGTGGTGATCTTTAGGAAGGTTGACAAGGTATGTCTTTTTAAAGTGGCTCATAATATGGTTTAATTTATTGTGGTGGCTTAACCGTTAGCAGATTTTATTGTGGTGGTTTAACAGTTTAAGCCATCACAATAAATTTGTCGGGGAGGGCCCCGTTTTGTTTTACTTGATTTTAATGATTTTACAGTCGAATGTGTTTTTACTTGTTCCTAGGTTTTATGCTGGTTGTTAGCTGCCCTGAGCACTACCTAGAAGTGGAGGGTGGCTAGAAATGTAACAGCAACAACACAACAATTGGTCTCTTTAGGGTTTGGTGGGAGGAGAGGATGTTTTAAATAAACCATCATCACAATCATCAGTAACTGGACTGTTGAGGGTGTAAGCGGCATCATCATCTCCTCCCTGCAACCCACAGATTGTGAGCCGCCCCTGAAGAAAGAAGGGGGGCTGCCCGAGGGGCCAGTCCTGGAAGCCTTGCTGTGTGCTGAGACCGGAGACAAAAAGCCGGAGCTGAAGGAGGAGGAGCTGAATTTGGACTGTCCGGTGAGAGGAATAAAAAGACACACACACACACCAGGCCTGGCCCCTTCCCTGAGAAATTGCCCAGGACTGTTCTCAGATACCCTCTCCTCCTTTAAAAAAAAGCAAGCCAGGCTTCGTTAGGGGGTAATGCAGGACAATGGAGGTTCATGATTCCGATTCCAGAGGGGCAGTGAATGGGCTCCAGGTTTTAGTCCAGACTCTCCAAGGTGCTGAAGCCCATTCTCTCCCCCACCATTCCCTCAAAAGCTTCAGGACCTTGGACAGCTCTTTCAAAGCTGAGAATGAAAACCTGGAGTGGATTCATTGCCAACACAGCACTGGAGTCTCTTGGCGGGGTTGTGTGTGTGGCAGATTCACCACCTGCCAGCTTCCTATTCAGCTGCTGCCTTCTAAAAGGGCTCCAGCGTCCTGGGTTCAAATCTCATCAACGCACAGCCTTGCCAAGGCAGCACTGGGCCAGCTGTTCTCACATGTGGCTCTTTCTTGGTGGCAGATTATCAGTCCAAAACTGGTGGCTTGGGGGAGGGGAGAGCCTACCCTCCAGGGAGGATGCAAAGATTGCTGGAGGAAGAGATCTCTGGCTTAGCCGCTGCTCCTCCTCAGGAGGTTCTCCCTGCGCTTAACTCCACCGCCTGCACCTCACTCTCTGCTTCCCTCTTGGGTCTGTCGCAGAAGGCGCCAATTGGGGAATTCCTGCATGATCTGGACACTGATGAGTTGGAGGATGATATGCCACGACGTAAGAACAAAGCCAAAAGCAAGGTGTGTCCAGTACCTGTGCGCACATCCCTGTGCTCACACTCTCTTTCTCTCTTACGTATCTACTGACATGTTTACGTCTAAAGCCAAAATGTTTTGCTTTAACACTTGTTTGTTTGTCTCTTTTACAAGTGTGTGCATATTTTAGTGATTAGCTGCATCCTTCAGAGGGATCCTAAAAAAGGTTGACACGGTGCAATAAATCATCTCCATTTTTCTCTCTCTCCTGCATTTGGCTAGCAAAAAATGTTCATACATAAATCCAGGCCCCTGCTCAGAGATGGATCCTTCCCATACCACTCCTTTAACAAGAAATGTTCCCTGTGATACTTAAATGGAGACTCCAGGGCCGGAGACAGTCTACCTCCATACCCCCCAGGGTTAGGGGTCCTGCAAAGAAGAGCAGATGATGTCCTTTTGGCCTTTCTCAGAGGCTGGTCCTATTGAAAACCAGGTCTGGGCAGATCACCCTTCAGGCTGCCTTGCAAGGCTCTTCTGAAGGTGCTCAGTGACATTGATGGGGAGGCCATCCTGGCCCGGGAGAGTGTGAAATAGGGGAAGGGTCAGCTGGAGGAAGGAAACCCCCCTTACCCGGAGTCTGACGCTCATTCTCATTCCAGATTTCCTTCCCTCCCCCTTGCGGAAAGAGCTTCTTCGCAGGAGGGGCAGAAGACAAGAGGGTCCCAGCTGATGTTTGCAGTGGCAGGAAATAAGGTGAGGTCCAGATGGACCTTGCCTCCCCCCCACACACAAAGATTATGCAAATTTCCTCTTCTTTGCATATATTTGCCTGCTGGCCCTTCTCCTCCCCCTTTTCTCTTTTTGACCCCCCACTTTTATATGCTGGATAGCAATTTCCAGAGAAGCAGCTGGCAGAATTAATGGTGAAAAGAGCAGGGGGGAAAAACACACAGCAGAGAGAAAATAAGAATGAGAAGGAGAAAAGCAATATATTTTGGCATTTTAAAGATTGGCAGGTTTATTTCAGGGTGAGCTTTCATGGCTAAACATCTTCAGACACAAGGAATGGAAATGAATCAAATAAATCTATTGTCATTGTAAGTACAGTATATACATAGTATACACATGCACTGAAATTCATACAGACACCCAAAGACCAGACCCACATGCACACACACACAAAATCCCCAAACACTTCCCACCCACTAAAATATGTGGCCGATGTATTTATGTGTATTCTCATAGCCAGGTAAGAGGATACAGACAATAGTCTGAGGCATGAGTACCACTGAGCATGTGTAAAGTGCTGTTCCGAAGTAGCCCACCCCTCCCTCCTCAAATTAAGGGAAGAGACCATGTATAGGAGAGGGGGGACCTGCAGGCAAATAAATGCCTGGACAGCTGTCTGTTTTGGGGTTTGTCTTGGCTTCTACGGAAGGTCAACAGCCCGACAGGAGAGTCTAAAAAGGATACACCGGCGATATTTGAATGTCTAATACAGCCTCTCTGTTGTTCTGGCATTTAACAACTATTCAGTTACTTATTTTATTTATTCAAAATATTCATAGCCTGCCTTGTGTTGCAGTTTCTCAGGGACGGGTTTCAGAGCCATGCAAGACAACGTAAAACTCTACGATCTTTAAAACAATTTCAGGTTAAAACAGTTTAAGGTGCATAGCATTAAGGCATGAAACAGTTGTGTTAAAAGCTGCACAGGCTAAGATCTCCAGCCCCCAAAGCCTCTAGTCAATGAGCATGTTCTGATGGGCACTGAAATAATGCTGGGGGGGGCGCCAGTTGACCCTTCTAAGAGGGTCTCCCTTCCTCTCTTCTCTCTTCCTGGCTTGGCTTTCTCTGCTGTCCCCACCCAGCCATCTTTCCTGCCCCTAATCTCCTTCCAAAGCACTTAAAATAGATCAGCTCTATTTAGGGTCGACAGCAGTTCAAACCATATTCCTCAATTCTAGATAAGAAGGTTAAAAAAAACAACGCACCGAGGACTGATTTTCACAGTGCTGCATGCTCAGTCAGAATTTCCCTTTTGCCCGTTTCCTCAGGCAGTTC